CCCCAAAACCCCAAAACCCCACAACTCAAAAAAAACCTCAAACTCAAAAAAATCAAACTTAAAAATGAACCAAGAACAATTAAATAATCAATATTATCAACAATACATGCAATAATAGCAATAGATGCAACTTCAATAGCAACAAACCTCAAACATTTATCCCAATCAGATGTAGTAGCAAATGCAACAGCCAATGATGTAAGGTTATATGCAAAATATTCCAACAAACTCATCATCTCCAATCAACCCATTCATGAACCAGTATCCAGATTAGAATGCCTATATTCCAGTTCAACAACAACAGCAAATGCCAAGTAACTTCTAAATGAATTAGATGCAAAATATGAACTAAACTGTTATTAACTAAGCTGATAATGCTTTTGGCAACATAAATGGCACATTTGGATCAAGTTATGATCAACCTCAGCTTACTGGACTTCAAACTCAAAATATTAATTAGTAGTAGTTACCTGCTGAAAACAAGAAAAGCAAAAAAGCAATTGGATAAACTTAGGGGAACAATGCCTTGAAAAGAAAAAGAGCAAGCAACAAGAACATTTGGGTTCAAAAGAGTAGAAAAGCTTGTTTAAGAGCCTAAAGATAAAAGAGAGAAAAGATCTTAGGCCAACAAGGTCTAGTTGGTTCACCAGATCTTATTGATTAAATCAACACTTTAAACATTGGAGGTAAATCAAAAGCTCCAAAAGTTAAGAAGCCTAAGGAATCAAGCAAAATGCAACTCGATCCTTCAAGAACTAATCCAGCTAGAGGAGCTAAAGTAGAAAAAGGTGGATACAATGAAAGCAAAATGACTCAATCAAATATTGAATAGTTCCCTAAGATTGTTAAGGAAAAGAAGAAAGATACTGCAATGGAAGTAGATTAAACTCAACAAGATGACTTTGTGGATCCAAGCAATCCATATGAAAAGATTACTATCACTGGAAATCAAAATGACGAGGACATTTAATGCGATGTCTGCTTAGAATATGAATATGAAGATGATGATCAAATTGTAATGTGCGATTTATGCAACGTTGGTGTTCACTAATCCTGCTATGGAAGTGATCTTACTCATGGTGTTCCAGTTGGAAACTGGTATTGTGAAAGATGCAGTGTGCTCTTAAGAAACAGAGATATGAAATGCACTGAAATTAAATGCTTCCTCTGCCCAGACATTGATGGAGTATTAAAGCAAATCGACAATGAATTGTGGGCTCATGCAATCTGTGTGAATTGGAATCCAGATATTTATTTTACTGATGCTAAAAAGAACAAGGTAGAGGGAGTTCTCAATAAACAAAGATTTGAACTAAACTGCTAAAAATGCCACAAAAAAGGAAAAGGAACTTGCATTTAATGTGATTATAAGAACTGCTCTCGTAGCTACCATGTCAGATGTGCAGTCAGAAGAGGATTAATTTAAGAATGGGAAAAAATGGAAGATAAAGCAGGAGAAGCTTAAGATAATTTCATTCCAGTATTCTGCGAAGATCATGAAAAGAAAGGTTATGAGAAGTTCAAAAAAGGAGGAAAATAAGAAATCTAGAGCATTTAAATGACCTAAGCTTTTAAAGAAAAAGCTGCTGAGAGACTAAACAAGTATAGAGAAATTCAAAGCCAAAAAACTGGAAAATAAGTAAAGAAGGCTAAAATAGCAAGTAAATTTAACAAAAAGAAAACCTTGAAGGTTAATGGCATTAATTTGAGCAACAAGCAAGCATTTAAGGATATTAAAGATGTAGTTCAAAGAATTTCTTGTGCTTCCAACTCATAGAAGAAATCAAAGAAAGTTAAGGGAAAGAATGTAAGAAAGATTCAAAAATCTAAGGATATCCCAAGACCACAACATAAGTCAATTGGCAAGCAATAGTAAGGTAAAAAGAGAATAATCTAGTCAGCAAGATCAAGCAAAGCTAATACTAAAGATTCAAATCAGCAACCAAACAATCAATTGAATCAGATGATGTAAACATTCTCATAATTCATGGGAAATATGATGACTGGTGGATTTGGAATGGGTGTTCCTTAAAATTAAGGATCTGGTAACAATCAAGCTAAAAATCAACCTAAAACTGTCCATCCAAAAACCAAGGCTATAATGAAAGGTAGAACAAACAAAGTGGTTAAGCCTAGAGAGGATCAAAAGGCCAAAGAAGTGCTTATTAAGGAATCAACTCAAGGAAATTAAGCTCAAACTTCATTGTTGAGCACCTAAAAAAGAGGAGCAAGAACCAAGAAGCAACAGGACCAGAATTAAGCCAACAACATGACTGTACAACAGCAACAGTAGAACTTGATGCAATCACTCTATCCTCAGGCTCCATTCAACCCATACCTCGGAACACCTATTATGTCAGGCACTATGTTCGGCAACGGGCAATCATTGCCTAAAATATTCTGATTAACTAATTATTAACCTGCTCTGCATGAATTTGCAGCATGGGGTTTTGGGGTTTTGGGGTTTTGGGG